TGGTCATGGCAAGAAGGCTGACTTTTCCCAAACATCTAGATCTCGGGTCAATTTCTGACTGGGTTTCTGAATAATGTTTCCAACTAGAGACACATAATTACAAGTTCAAGCTAAATAATCACCCAATGAAAGCTTTCCTGGAACAGAGTAACTCTCCAAATCATGATTGTGTTGGTTTCCATCACTGATTCTATGGATATTGACTTTATGATTAGACTCAGAGATGGTCTAATCCAATTTTCCTTTCTAAATCAACCTTTTTATTCCTTCAAATTATAAGCACAGTAGCCATTCCCTCTAAAATTCTTGCTTGTTTCCTACAAAATCTACTACAAGTCTGGGCTCCTCGGTCAAAGCTAGGCATAGTAGGCTCTAGGCCCAGCTCCATCACGCTCCATTGCTTATAGAGAACTATGTGAGGAACAATGGTAAGTTTGCTGACCTTTCTGCAACTAGATGCAACACAGCTAAAACGCAGTAACTGATTATCATGCAGACCTTCCTGCCTCTGCCTCTTTCCAGCTGCATGACCTTGAACAAGTCAGGAGTCTTGCTCAGCCTCAGCTTCTTCATCTATAACATGACTTTTCCATTGAGGGGTTGTTGTGAGAATTAAATAAAATTGTGTGTGTAAGTGCTTAGTTTAATGTTTAGTACATATTAGTCCTCACTAAATGTAGCTGTTACTATAAAAATACACCACAAGGACTCAGGCTCAGCTGGGACCATTACCATCTCTTGGCAAATCAGTTAACTAATGTTGTAAATATATCCTGTTTTCCCTTGTGCTTTAATGACATGTTATCACTTTTGTTGATTACCTGCTCTGCTCACCCATCAACTCTCCCATCCCTGGCCATTGAGAAAAATTGACAGGGAAGGAGTTTTCTTGTGATGAGCTAAGAGTAACTTTGTAGCAATTGACCCAGTTACCTAATCATAATCACAGAGGGAAATGTATAAATTCATTATGCTATCATTTTTTTTAAATCTTCCTCAAATTTTCCTGGTTTGATAACCCTTTACAACAAGTCAACTCAATCCATTATGTAGACCAACATTTTGCATCCAAATTATAGACTCATCTAGGAAGTTACCTTGCTCTAGGTTAAAAATTCAATGAATGCCTTTTTTTTTTTTTTTTGGACAGTTTTGTGGTCAGTATTACACTTGCTGCACATTATTTTTAGTAAAATGGTGTTTCAACCGTAAAGAGCTTTGATGCATGAAAGCAGATCCCAAGTTACTTCTTTACAAAGATCTAGGATCCCCTAGGCTTACTCCTTTGAGTCTTTCTCCAAAGCAAGCCTCTGTTGAAGTTCCAGGCACCGCTAAGCCCCTCCCCTTTCATGAAATATAAATCAAGTACTCCCTCCCCTCTTTGATGTTGCAATGTTTATGACTACACACCTGACCAGCAAATAAAGTACTAACTCCAGTATTTCTCAATTACGCTGGGGACTAATAATTATTAGAATAAGTAAGATACACGAAAGATTGTTGAAGGAAATGCAATTTATTGATTTCTCCAAATCAAGGATTCTTAACAGATCTGTAAAACCCTAAGATGTTCATATGTGGGCTTCCAGAGGTCCATAGACCCTCCCGTCTCCCTGAGCATGAGCTTTAGTCAGGTTTCAGAAGGGTTAAGAACCTCTCCTCTGAACTTTCTGTAGTGCGTTCCCTGATCAAACCAGAGTAGAGTACCTGGACCTTACCATTTTTCTCTGTTACCCATGAAACTCATGGCTGAATTTACTCTAAGGATGTTATTTAAATGTTGCTAATTCTGTTATAGTTTTCTTTCTTATGAAAATTTATAGAAGATATTTCTCTATGGTTTTATAAGTAGGAATAGATGTAGATTATTTTAAATGAAGAGCGATATATAATGTTAAAATCTTTGTTGGCTGCTAGAAAGTTTAAAGCCAAGCTCTCGACCTACCTGCTGCGTAAGTAGTTAGAACTTTACAATATGCATTTTGTGTTACTCGATATTGGGGTGTGGGGGGCTAATAAATAACACCCATTTCCCCTTGCCTGGGTTCTAAACTAATTGAGAAATAGACACTGGAGACGGATAGATAGAGATCCAAATGTCAGCTTTCTTACCAACTAAGCTAGGTAGGAGAATGCAGCTCATGTGTGAAGAGAAATGGACTGATAATATCCCATCCTGAGTTAGACGAACTTACCTGCTGAGTCACAGGCATGGTTGGATGGCCTCATCCTCCTGTGCAGGAGGATGTGAACTCTCTGCAGACTGGAGCACTCTCCCCAGAGGGGTTAGCATCTCAACCCCTTATCCCAAATGCACATCAGAAAAAGCCCTCTGGCCCTCATACCTGGCATGCCTTCCTGAAGGAGAGGCTGGGGCAAGAGGCAGAAACACTATTCTAGGAGATCCTTCCACATAAGGTGGGGAAAATTACCCCAACACAGAACTGTCTCCTCTTTTCTTTCCTACCTTTATTCACCCTTTGGCAAGTTTTTTGAACTATTTAGGTAATTGCAACATATATATTTTTGTAAAGTTATTTACATTCTTTTTGGAATGGGTTGGGTCAAATTGTTTAACTAAAAAATTTATTTTAAAATCACAGTATCCTAATTTTTTTTGTATGAGAAAATAAAACCCCCACATGATTTAGAGTGCTCCAAGAGAGATTGTAGAAATCTGCAAATGAGTAAATTATTTTTCTCATACCTCTCAATGTTTAACTTAAAACTTTGTGTGCCTTGTCTGTCTTTAATATGATATTTTTAAATTCTGTGTTTTAAAAACACAAAGAGGATATCTATATTTAAAGTCTATAAACATGTCTTGCCTCAGGTTAGCTATAGTTAATATTTGCAAAGAGAACAGACATTATAAAATGTTCTATCATAAACTTATTTTAGAAGAGACTATGCCAAGTTCTTTAACAAAAATTTTAGAACTGATATATCCAAATGTGTATTATGCCTTTTAAGAGACTTCATTTGAAAAGCAATACCCTTATTTCAATGAGGCCATTACTACTCAGAGAACTTTTTAAAATTCCTTCTTTAGACTGGCTTTTGGAAGTTTCACAGAGTACCTTATATACCCTCAAAAATGACAAATGTTTGTCCTGTTGCATGAATCTGATTTTGGAAGCAGCCATTTGGAACCCTATCTATAAATATTGTACCTATTCAAATTTGGTGACAAAAGTTTTAAATAAAAATGATAAAAACGTCATGGCAAATCTTCATGATGTTGAGTTTTAAAATGGTTTCTTAAATATAACACCAAAGTATAAGGAACAAAAGAAAAAGTAAATAAATTGGTCTTTAGTAAAATTAAAAATTTTCGTGCATCTAAGAAAACTATCAACAGAGTAAAAAACAGACAGCCTACAGAATGGAAGAAAAACTCACTAATTATATACCTGATATATGCAGAATATTCAAAATACGTAAAGAACACTCACAGCTTAACAACAAAAATTTAAACAATCCAATTCAAAAATAGGCAAAGGACTTGAATAGACATTTTTCCAAAAAATATACACATGGCCAACAAGCATATGAAAACATGCTCTACATCATTAGTCACTAATGAAAGGAAAGTCAAAACCACAATGAAGATACCACTTTACACTTACTAGAATGGCTATAAATTATTTTGAAAATAGAAAAGAACAATTGAACAAGAGGATTTGGACAAACTGAAACCTTCATACATTGCTGATAGGAATATAAAGTGGTTCACCACTGAAGAAAAAAGTTTGGTAGTTCCTGAAAATGTTAAACGCATAATTACCATATGAGCCAGCAATTCCACTCCTGGGTATAGTATACCCAAAAGAATTCAAAATAGGGACTCAAACAAATACACACGAATATAGCAGCGCTCTTTACCATAGCCAAAAGGTTGAAAAGACCCAAGGGTCCATCAATGGCTACATGAATAAACAAATTGTGGTATATCCATACAATGGACTATTATTCAGCAAAAGGAATGGAGTACTGACACACGCAACAACATGGATAAATCTTGAAAACATTATGCTAGGTGAGAAAAGCCAAACACAAAAAAGGGCAAATATTCTAAGATTCTACTCATATGAGGTACCTAGAATAGGCAAATTCATAGACGGAATGTGTCCCGGGAAAAAGTGGTTGAAGGAGGAGGGGTAGAGGGAGTTATTGTTTAATGGGTAGAGAGTTTCTGTGTGGAGTGATGAAGGAATTGTGGAAATAGTGGTGACAGTTGCATCGTATTTGACTGTAATTAATGCCACCAATACGTACACTTTAAAATGATTAAAATTTCGTCGTGTAAATATATAATGTATATATATAACATTTCGATGTTATTAAGCATTAGTATAAAAGTAAACAGATGTTAGTTATATATTTTACAAGAAAAATACCATTTATAATTTACTACAGTTAAAATTGTATTTAAAGAATCTAATAGTCCTTCATTTTTCTCACCAAATGCCTTGCTGGAATGAAAAATGCAAATGGATTTTGTGTCAAACTATCAATAATAGATGTCAATATTTTAAAATAAAAACAAGATGATCAGAAAGTGGCGAAGCAACTTTTTCTGTGCTTCCTTCGGAAAGTAAAGCCCTTTAAGGTGTGTAACAGAAAATAAAAGATGAAAAATGGGTAGATTTTGCTGTACAAAAGAAAGTATAACTTATAGTTAACAACCGAATTGTGGTCAAATTGCATAGTTCACATCCCATGAAAAGGATGTTAGTTGGTTCATGTTTAATCAACTCATGTTGATATTAACACCTAGAATATGATGAAATCTTTCCAACAATATTTGGAAAGATTTCACCATGTTCTAGGTGTTAATATCAACATGAGTTGATATTTTCCCTTCTAGTCCTTGACTGTTGAATTCCTTTCTTGAGGAGCTGCCAGTGTGATGTGGGTTATAATCCGGCCTCACCATTATTTCTTTAAAGCTAAAGCCTAACAGACGATGGCTCATGTGCACCCCAATTCTTTTTCAGAGCATAGAAAACTTGGAAACATGACTGTGACCGTGAGGAAGACCGTCCCCTCCCCCGAGGCCGTGCAGATTCTCTACCAGCGAATGAGATACGAGTACGATTTCTACCACTACGTCAAGGAGCAGTTCCACCTGCTGAAGCGCAAGTTCGGACTGAAGTCTCGCATCAGCAAGACCTCGCTGAGACCCCAGTTCTTCATTCCCACGCCACTGGAAACAGAGGAGCCCATCGATGATGATGAACAGGATGACGAGAAGTGGCTCGAAGATATTTATAAGAGGTGATGCCAGCACGGCGTTGACTCCGATGGCTTTATCTCCCTTTTCCAGAAAGTTTTTTGTTTGGGGAAGAAAAATCCTGAAGGGACTAAATTAATGCTCGGCTGCATTAAAAAGAACAAAACATTCCCACAGGTTGGGGTCGTTGGGAAATGCCCGGTTTTGCGGGTTTTATTTGTTTAATTTTATTCTGTGTTTTCCTGGTTCCTTGGGTCCTTCCTAGGTACACTAGATGACTCCATCACAAGGCATCTCATCATAAAAGAGCTGTTTTCTCCCAGTATAATGAGAGAAGGTGGGGAGAAATATAGCCTGTGGGCCAATAAGTTATCATTTGTAAAATGACTTGTAAAAATATTACCTCAGTGGTAGGAAACATCCAGACTCGTATATTTCAGTAGAAATACAAAACCACTTCAGACACCAAGGTATCTACTCCAGAAGGATCTAAGAGGAGAAGGTAAGCAGATAAGGACATCAAAAGGGAGGATGTCCCAGGACAAGTGGTTTCTACCCACTTGGGTAGAAGTCTGCCTCTGGTCCATCTCAGGGGACACTTTCACCAAGAGCAGCATACTTATTATCTCTGAAAGAGCAAGTCAGCTTGTGCCACACCCCAACCAGTCCAGAGCCCTATCTTTCAAGGTCAAAGTGCATGGAGAGCTCCATCGAGACATTCCAAATACCATTCTGACAGATTTCAAAGTCACGTGGCAGGAAAAAGAATTTGTTTGCTGTGTAAGGAAGAGCTTGCCGATCAGCTCCGGAGGTCACGTGGCATAGGAAAATGGCATGGTCATGTCCTTTGCACCCCATATGAAACACTTCTTTCCCCAGCATTGCTTTAACTGATAACCCAATTTGGCTCTGACTTTGACCTATGGCAGAAGTTCTAATCCTGACCACAGACAATGCATAATCCATCAGGCACATCCCTGGCCAGTTGGGTCCCATAGTACCTAGTATGTTTCACCTTCTAGTCCCTTAAGGCGTACCTGTTTTTGGTGAGAAGAGGTACTGAGTTCTGTGCAGGCAGCAGTGAAACTATAGTCCCTTTTCTTATGGAAGTGGCTCACTCCTGAGAACCCTTTCTAGGACATCAAGAAGAGAAGCAAGAGCATCTGGGTAAGAGATTGCTTGACCAGCTCTATGATTGGTGTCTGCCTTCCAAGTGATCTGAGTAGATGTTGGTCAGTGTCATATCTCCAAAATATTCCCTCTCCATTCCATTCCCATCACCTGCCATCTATCCATGATGCCTTGGTTCAATCATTAGAAACCTGTTGCTTTGGATTCTGAAATGTTTTCATCTTTAACCGCCCCTCCTCCTCCAAAAATACATATACTCTTGAGTGGATAATGTACAGCCAACTGAGAAGCATAGGCGCAGGTGGTGGTGGCCGGCAGGATACATGCAACAAATTTCGTCTCCTTCATGTGCATTTCAGAGCACTGTCAAAGTGTGAGTTGGGAATACTTAATAGTAAATAAGACTCTAACTTTACGCGAGCTACACACCTTCTACTTTTCAGAAACCAACAAGTCTCTAGAATGTTTTTCTTCATTCACTAAAATTGGACAGTAGCCAAGATATAAAGCGAGTCATTTGGAACCTGTCAAGTGTGCATTAAGCTACTTTATCATGAGATGTATTAAGAAGCTTCCATCCCGCAGGAGTCCAATGAAGGCTGGGACCACAGAGGCACAAAGTCCAGCATTTGGCCACTTGTTAGCCTCCTTTCTGCTTCGGAAAACTAGGGCAAGGAAATAATTAAGGGAAATATTCTTAGGAGAGGAAATATCTTTTGTTCTGTTCAGAGACAGGGCCCTACTATTAGACACGCTTTAAAAAGCAACCCAGAAAATAGCTATCATATTCAAAATAAAGACAAGAACTGCCGTCTGGTACATTGTAAGCCATTTCTATGAAATTGCATATAAAGAATGATAATTAGTTTACACACTGTGCAATCTCACTATCTGGAAATAAAGTTGGGCTGGCTAAGAGTTCTCTGCAATTGTCGGAACACCCAGACAATTGGTCATTTTAAAAAATGTATCTCTTAGTGCAGGTTCACATGAGCACTTCTACCTGTGTGTTCAAAGGCATTTTTGTCAGTAGTGATCATTATAACATCACAACAAAAGATGCTGACTGATTGACTTGCAGGTTCTTCATGTTATTTTGTCCTAATAAACAGCCTCTAGGTCCTGAAAGTCAAAGCACTTCATCAGTATATTCGGCGCACATGACAACATTTCTTTGGCCCTGAGCCCGACACAGTTTGTAGTTCATGAAATATATTGTACATTTTACATAGTTTAATTTAAAAAAAAAATACATTTTAAGCTGGTTGATCTTTGACTGCCTTATTTATTATAACCTTTCAGCACATTCCAAGGTTTTAGTTACTCAGGAAGGAGTTAATTAAAATGATTTTATTTTGGTCTGATGGATGTTTTTTAAAAGGAAAATTATTATTATGAACCTTCAGCCTACTTTCCTTGAGTGCCGTAAAAGTGCTTGTAAATCTTTTTTTTTTTTTTAAGAAGAAAGAAAAAAATGGTGTTTGACATTGATGGAAACTGAAAAATATATATAGAACTGAAACATGAGCTTAGCTAAAATAAAAGCAATCTGTGTTTGAGATGAAGTGTTTCTTAACTTATTCATTACCCATGTAAATAAATGAATATAAATAAGTCGACATTTTTTTTCGTTCTGTTGATACCTGGAATAAGAGTGCCTGCAGTTCCTCACAGGGCCCCTCCGCCCCCATAACTGACCAAGCTTTTTGCCTCAAGATGTGATTTTTGGAAAGATGTAGTTTTAAAACTCTATAAACTCTCATAATTAGACAACATCAAAAAACTGGCTGAAAAAAATGAGCTAGTTATTCATTCATCTAATTGTGTATACAACACACTCAACAGTTGCTGACTTTACTGCTATGCCCACCGCTGGTTTGGCGCTTCACCGGAGCCATCAGCCTCTGATAGCAGGACCTAGGCAGCCAGTCTGCAGTGACAGAGGAAAGCAAGGATGTGCCACGACGCATCTTAGTGTATACGCTGATCTTTTTCTCAGACACGTAAAGTTTCAAGAGCTGGATGATTCTAACCTCCCAAGGGAGCAGTTTCGATCCAGAAATGCTGTCTCTGGGAAATTTCACTGCTACATCAATTGAAACTTACAGGGAGAGAGAGTGAGAGAGAACCCCCCTGCGTTCTAGAGACTGGACACTACATTCCAACTACACGTGACTATAAAGGAAAAGAATCGAAATCTTAGTACTAAATTAAAGAAAAATCCGTTTTGGTAATAACATGCTCTCTTTACTCCAAGTAAGATTCTGAGAGTCGTAAACAGCAAAGCGATAAGTGGTTACTTTTCGTTAACATTTAATTTGTTCGTCGGTAACCCAGTCACGTGATCTTTGACTCTGCAGGAAATTTAAAGGCAAAAGTATTAAACAAAAGCTGGACTGTGCCACCTTACTTGTTTGATCTATATTCTTTATACATGTGCTATTACTCGAGGTTTTACCCAGTGAGTTATTTGGCTTTAAATGAATTTTGTAGAAAATAGCAGTATTTCTTTAAAATCCAAAATGATAATCAACAGCCATTTAGAAAAATAGTTCTGTGGGTCAAAACAGTGAAATTCCCTTCAAGCAAAAGTAAAGAGGATACATTTTCCTAATGTGATTTACTTCCCATGTGATGACAAAGAAACCAATTTTTAAAAGTATTTTGAATATCATGCAAAAGGAAAGATATGTTAGCTCAAATCAATATTAAGAGTCTATTTAAAACACACATACGCACGTGGAACTTCTTTCACAGCTCAGAAAAGTCATTTTGCTGTGACCCAGTGTATTCGTTTGCTAGACTGTCATAACAAAGTCCCACAGACCGAATGGCTTAAACAACAGAAATGTATTTTCTCACAATTCAGGAGTCTGGAAGTCTGAGATCAAGGCACCCACAGGGCTGATTTCTTCTGAGTCCACTCTCCTCGGCCTGGGCATGGCGGTCTTCTCCCTGTGTCTTCACGTCATCTTTCCTCTGTGCGCACTCATGTCCGTGTGCGAATTTCCTCTTTTGATAAGGACACCAGTCATATTCGAGTAAGGCTCACTCGAAAGAGTTCTTTTGAACTTCATTACCTCTGTAAAGGTCCTGTCTTCAAGTATAGTCACATTCTGAGGTATTAGGGGTAAGGACTTCATGTAAATTTGATGCGGACATAATTCAGCCCATAACACTCGATGACGCAGGAAAGTTAGAGCAGAGGAACTAAACTCCAATCGGGAAAGGAGCTGGTGTAAAATCACAGACCTCTAGAGCTGCCTTATTCAAAATGAGAGACTCGAGGTCCAGTAAGGGGATGCAAATTCATCACATACTTTTTCCATTGAGGATTCAATTAACTTTGAGTATTTATCAAATTAAGACTTTAAAATGTGTATATAGCCAGAGTCATCCGCTGTCCTAGAATCCACAGGGGAAACGATAAGGCACATTCAGCCACACTTGGTACCACCTGCCATATTGAAGCCCCCTCCCTGTGTGACTCTCCTAGGAGAGATGGCTGGGGGACTCCCTTCCACAGAGGGATGCATTATTGGTTTTCAATCACTTAAGCCCTCAGAGACAGATGTCAAAATAAATACGTTTTATTCTAGATTTTTCTGGATAAATAGGCTTGAACCATGTCTGCCCATCTAGATTACCAAGTTTTATTTTTCTTCAAGGCGAAATGAAGGTTCATGTGCTACTTCCTGTAAGGCGTTTCAGATGGTCCCAGCTCAAAAAATAAAGTCATATGCAGCCCATAAAACTAGGTGAAGTTGAGTGCAGACATGCTCCTGGGAAACCAGAACTAGAGGATCACGGATGCCCTGAGCTCCCGCAGACCTCCTCGTCCACCAACTGTTTCACTCACTTGAGAATTCCTTTCTGCGTAGGGCAGGCTTGGCTCCCAGCTCCAGGCACCACGGATTCCCAGGGAACACCCAGACCCACAGATGTTCATGGGTCACAGAACTGTGCACTGACCGCTTGTGCATTTTGGATTTCCACATGTAAACGTGGGGATTCCCTTTTAAAAAAATAATAATAAAATAAAGAGAGAGAGAGAAAAGAAAGGGGGCGGAGGAAAGGCAGGGAAGAAAAATCACCATTGCAAGGGAAAAATGTGAGCTAAGTTTTTCCTTTTGGAATCTTGGCCTGTGAGTTTAGCTATCTTCGATCTGGCTTTGCCAGACACTGTATGCTTTGAGCAGGCATGGAGCAATCTGCCGTACACTGTGCTGCCAGAACATTCAGACTCGACTTGTAACACGCCTCTTATTCCAGTCCTGAGCAGACACAGCCGGGAGGACAGGCTGCGCCAGACACAGCTTGCTGGCTGCGTGGTGCGACTAGAGAGGCAGCTAAACCAGGAAGCAGAGCAGTTGACTGACTAGGACAAGGGCTGTGCACTGGCAAAGTCCCCAAGTTCAAGTCCCAGCTGGTCTATTTCACTGGGTGTTTGAGTAAATCACTTGACCTCCCCGTGCCTGAAGTCAACCCAGCTGGAAAGCATTAGGAAGAAAAGCAAGAGCTGAAAAGCAAGAGCTGCTTCTGGGATGAACCTTGTCCCACCCTCCACCCCCATATGCTAAGAGACTAAGAGCCACAATTCTTCTGGGTCTGACAAACATTCATTCTCTGCACAAAATGCTGTGTCCCCAGCAAGAGGGAATAGAATTACACATAAGTCTCAAACCATTGATGCTGCTGGTCCCTCACGTCTGCAAATGTAGTCACCCAGAGTACCAAGGAGTCCGTGGGAAGCAGCACTGCTGAAATGTGAACTGAGCTGTTAGGAACAAGCATATTCTGCTGGACGTGAGTTAGTAGTATTAGCCTACGCCATTATCCTAGACAAGCCGCTCTGTGGGTTTTCACTTTCCGCTGGCACTCTACTCAGGAGGAGTTCATCTCGCTGAGTTAGAGAGTTCATCTTTACCTCACAGCTTCCGTCTTTTAAAAAGCACCTTGTGTATCTGTGATCCTGTTAACGATAAGGAGCCTAAACATCCATGTGAATTCATACAGGCCGTGTACAAGGAAACGTTTTAATGAAACGTAATGGCGAGATGGGATATTGTACTTTTTGGAATCTTGTTTCTCATCTCAGAAGCGGCATCGCTGCTGTGACGTTGTGGGAGAAATCTGGTAGTGATTTGTGGGCTGCTGATGTGTTCGGCATGGTCGATCCTTCTGACCCTCTACGGGATGACCATGGGTTGAGACTTCAGTATGTGGCATTGCTAACGTTTTGCTTGAGAAAGTTATGACACCACAAACTTCCTTACGGCCACCTTATTTGCCGCTTGTATCATATTTACTCTTTTCTTTACTCCTTTGGCACATTTTCTTATTCTCCATCTTTGATTGAAAGCTAATGAATTTCTAATTCAGTGCATATTCCCAAAGGATAATTCACAAACCAGGTGTATGAGAGGGGCCTGGGAAAAAATCATCATATGAAACAATTTGAGAAAGGCTGCAGTTCAGAGTCTAATGTCACACGGTACAGTGGTATTTCAGGAGCATACTAAGGACTGGAAGGAATGCTATAGTTAAAAAATCAGTTTCTCTGCGTTGAACCCCACATTTCTCAAAACTATTTGCCATGAAACCCTTATTAAGACCCATTTACATCCCGGGGAACTACTGTTCTAGAAATTACGCTTTGGGAAACATTGCCTTAATGTAAGTCATTCTTTTTCCTGTTAGAAGAGGTACTTTCCTTCTGCCATGATTCTATTTTTGGTCTTCCAAATGGTCCTTGTATCCTGCTTGAAGAAAATATATTTACAGATGATTTACCTTTTTGATCAATAGAAGACAGAGACAAATAACATTTTTAGTAAAATAATTAACAAAGAGTCACCTTTCAGCTTTGCTTATTCTCCCTAATCACATTCTCCTACCTCATGAGAAAGTAGAAACTTGTTTTAAAGTAATGTTTCCGTGCTTTTTAATATTATTTGGGCACCACCGATCAATTCACTACTTCATGACAATTAGTGCTCAAATCAAATTGGATAAAGCACTTCTGCCCCTTTCCTTCCCTGAAAGGTGGTTGGTTCTGCAGTAGGGGGGAAAGAGAGGCAAAGGAGAGATCGCCAGCTGTTCAGAAAAAGCTGGAGATTGGAAATAAGAATGCTGAGCTCTGGAGCTTGTGCTTGGCTTTTGCACACTGCGGTACCTGTGTTGTTCAGTACACTAGGGGGAGCCGTATCCATAACAATTTACTCAAGAAATACCAAGGTCATTCCAAACCTCATTTCTCTCCCATACCTGCTTATTTTCCTTCAATGTTTTAGAGTAGTATGGCCCTGAAGGAAATCATGAGTAGTGTATTTAAAATACAACATAAATGGCGTCAACTCATCAGTTGTTATCTTTCCCAGGCTGTGTACCCTGCTTTAGTTTTGTCGCTATTATTTTTAAATTACTATAGTATGTTTTAAATCTTTCTTTATCATATC